CATGAGGTCATGGAATAAAACAATGTGGGGAAAGCCTCGTGTACCCAGGGGGCTCACTAAGTAGGAGTTTGTGTTCAGGTCATCCGATGATGAAATCATAGAGGTGGGAGGGCCTCTGGACCGTTTGGAGAAATGGAAGTACATAGCAGACAATGAAGCTGCCCAAGGTCACACAACCAGATGGCTCTTGAGCCAAGTCTTCTGTCCTAACCCAACAATAGGATTCTTCTCTCTGTCCCACCCTGCCTTTCTGTGCTGGAAGGTCAATTGGGGCTGTTGGGCGGTGCCCAGCCTGTGCTCACTGAGCCTGGTGCTCTGGCACAAGCCTGCTTGGGCCTGGGAAAAGAGGAGCCCTTTTCTCTGCCCTAAAACATGGTGGGACTGTGCTCCCTCAGAGCAGGACATCTGTCCCTTTGTATATGAATGTCCTTTACGTGGCAGTCCGGCTTGCAAAATCAGTGAGGTGACACCAAAGCAGCCCCGCATTCTCAAGATCTTTATTCTTCCCCCAGGCCTTTGCTCCTTGCATCTCTCTCTAAATCCCATCCTGGGAGTCCTGACTACCTGGGCTCCTCTTCCAGGAAGCCATCCTGATGTCCTCAGTGGGTTAGTCTCTCCTCCACCATGCTCCTTGTTTCCATTTTGGGGTTCCCTCTCTCCTCTCTCCTCTTTCAGCCTTTCTCTCTGTCTCTTTGTATCTCACTTCCCTATCCTTGCCTCTTTCTATCTTTTTTTTAAAATATATTTTACTGATTTTTTACAGAGAGGAAGGGAGAGACATAGAGAGCTAGAAACGTTGATGAGAGAGTAACATCGACCAGCTGCCTCCTGCACACCCCCCACCAGGGATGTGCCCACAACCAAGGCACATGCCCTTGACCGGAATTAAACCCCGGACCTTTCAGTCCGCAGACCGACGCTCTGCCACTGAGCTAAACCGATTTCCGGCCCTTTCTATCTTTTAATCCTTGTCTGGGTGTCTCTCCTTTGCCTTCTCTCCCACCATTGTCTGTGTTGCTGTCTGTCTCTCATTGCCTGGGCCTGGGCCCCCCTCTCCTTCTCTCCACTGTCTTTTTCCACCTGGAGCTCCTTATGTCCCTGTGAGCGTCTCTGTCCCCTCCCTGCCTCTCTGTGTGTCTCCCCACTGTCTGAGGCTCTGTGGGCCCTATCCCCACTGTCTTCCTTCTCTTCCCTCCTTTCCTCACGCACGTGGCCTCCGCAGATGAAATGGAACGTGCCTTCCTGCAGAGAGCTGGCCAGAGCACAGCTGTCAGTGCTGGCAGGAGCTGCTGAGCGGTGGCCAGGAGACCTGGGAGCCTGGGCAAGCCATTCAGGCTAACCCCCAACACCGGGCCCCTTTGGAAACTGTCCACACCTTCCCGCAGGTTCCAGGGTGGGCGTGGCACCGGTCTCAGGACTTCTAGTCTTGGAGGCAAGCCTAGGCCCTGTCTGCCAGCCCTTGGGGACAACATGCACTGGGCCAGGAGCAGGTTCAGGAGCCAAGCTCTTGGGATTGGTGGAATCTGCATGAACAACACTAAAGGGCCGGCACAGGCTGCAAGCGGAGGGGAGGGGATCATGAGCTCAGGCCTCCTGGGGATTGGATGAGATCATGGAAAGGATATGGAGTAGCAGTTTTTGTCATTCATTCATTCAATAATCATGAAGCCGCCACTGTGAGCCAGACTTGGGCTCAGCCCTGGGTCAGAAATGAATCAGGTATGTCCCTGTCTTTGCACAGTCTCCCATCCAGCAGCTTGTTGGGAACATTCTCTGACAGAGGCAGCTCTGGGTATGGGAAGAGCATCCCAGCTGCAGCGAGGATGGTGGCCTGGCAGGGACAAGGACAGGTGGTGTGAGCAGTGATTTCAGTTCTGTATGGTTAGGCAGTAAAATCGGGATTCTGATGACTGAATGGATGGGGATGAGGAGGAAGAGAATGGAGTCAATACAGGGCCCATCTGATTGTGTTGGCTCTGGGAGATGTTAAGTGGAGATTCCAGCAGGCCATTGAACAGAGCAGGGGCTGCAGTTCCAGAGGTCAGCACTGCATGGTAAACTGACACCATATGGTGGATGATTTGTCCGCATACTGTGAGGGCCATGGACAGGGTTCCCAGGGTCCCCATATTTATTAAGCAGGAGAAAGAGGACCCCCACCAAGAGGACAAACGGAGCAATGAGAGGAGCATGGAACAGGGAAGAGCGGAGTTGTGTGGTCCTGTGAAACCAAGTCCTAGAGAATGGGATGGGTTTGGGGTGGTGGGAGTGAGTTGCTTGCATGTGTGGTCCTGAGGCACAGCCTGCCTTGGAAGGGCACCTCCTGGAGCTGTGCAAGGAGCAGCTTCATGCCCAGCCAGCGTGGCTCAGTGGTTGAGTGTCAACCTACGATCCAGGAGTTCGGGGTTCGATTCCAGGTCAGGGCACATGCCTGGATTGCGGGCTCAATCCCCAGTTTGGAGCATGCAGAAAGCAGCTGACCAATAATTCCCTCTCATCATTGATGTTTCTCTCTCTCCCTCTTCCTTCCTCTCCGAAATCAATAAAAATATTATTAAAAAAAAAAAAAAAAAAAAAAAAAAAGGAAGAGCCTCGTGCAGGGAGGGACAAGAGGAAAAAGGTGAGAGTGAAGGTGGCATACAGAAGGAGGGGATGGCAATTTGTAAACATCCTTTCTGATTCCTTCCAACTTCTCAAGTACCTAAAGTCTTCTATTTGGGGTCTTACGCTGCACAATTAGGGCCTGAAATGGCGGCAGTGGAGGGAATAAGTGGGACACCGACTGGACGCTGAAAAGTCGTTGGAAATGAAGTGTGGTGGGCATCCTGTAAGGCCTGGCCCCTGCTAGTGCCCCTAGGCAGCCCCAGGGATGCTACTTTAGGAGCAGCTGCAAGGCCCTCAGTGAAGACTCCCTGCTGCCCCTGTGCAGCCCGAGGTGGCTGTTTTCCCTGGTGGCGCTGAGATCCTCTGGGTGGACCATGTTGGGCCTAGAAGCCTGGTCTTTAAATTTGTCTCCATGGAGACAGGGAAGGGATTGGCTTTGCCGCCAATGGTGGATTCCAAGAGCTGCTAGCAAGGAGATCCTGCATCCGATGCCCTGGAGGCTGCACGCCCGTCCCCCTTCCCGCCCAGTCCTGCTCTGGGACAAGCAAGAGTGGGGATGAGCCTGTGGCCTCAGGCAGGGGCCAGCCCAGCCCATCCACTAGAAGTACACACTGGGCTATTCAGAAGGGTGTTCCCTCCTCTGCCTCATTAGGGCTTTAGAGCTGCCCAGGTGGCCAGAGGGAGCTGTGGCCAGATGAAGATGTGCCTATGTGACACTCAGGAAGACAGGCTGGGCTCAGAGAAGCCACTTGCTCAGGATTAGAGTGGAGACCTGCAGCCTTGGCCGGAACCTGGGTCTTCTATCCTCAACGGCACTGGGTCAGGACCGGAGCCTGGGAGGGCCTGTCGCACCTACTTTGTCCGAGTGTCTTCTGCAGCTGGCTTCCCAGAAGCCTCACTTACCTCCTTGCTTGGGCACATGCCATTCCCCCTACCTGGACAGCCTTTCTTCGGTGCCAGTCCACTCCCATCCTCACCTAGCTAACTCTTATCCCATCCTTCAGCCAGCAATCCCAGGTTGGATCAGATGCTTCCTGTGAGCTTCCTTTAGCAGAGTGTTGGTACCTGGATCAAAAGAGCCTCATTCTTGAGCCTGTGGGTGCCTGGAGCAGGCCCTACCTGTGCACACTGTCCAGCACTAGATACACTCTTGCTCCATGTTTGCCAGTTGGATAGATGGAAAAAGGGGAACAGAAAGGGAACGAGGGAGGGAGAGCAAACTTTCCTAAAGGTCTCTGGAGTCAAAGCTTTCTTCACAGAATCTTAGAGCTAGGGGAGGCCATGGGTTTCATGTAGCCCACTTCCTCTTACATGGAGAGAAAGAAGGCATGCCAGCCTCATGGGTTTGTTCAAGGTCTCAGGGTGAGTGTAGGGAATCCCGGCCCAGTGATCTTAGGCAGTGGTCCAGAGCTGGCTTTCAGGAACCGTGGTGGGCTGGCTAAAGAGATTGCTGGATGGGGAGATTGCTGGCAAGTGTAGAGCCAGCCGGTGAGGGACTACGGGCTCACTCTCTACTTCAGCCACGGGGCAGCCCCCACCTGTCTTCCTCTGTGCTGGAGTCTCTCCTTTCCCCTGCAGCCCGTCCACCCTCTGTGCTCAGCCCTCCTTGGGGCTGTCAATATGCTGACCTCCCAGCTTCCCACTTGTCACCACCTGTCACAGGCAATTACCGTAACCGTGCGGGGAGTTCCCCCAGGTTCCGGGATGAATGGTGAGCAGAAGGGAGCTGCCTGTGGGCACATAGGTGGGGACACCAGGGCCTTCCACCACTCTGCCCACACTGACCAGGTTGAGGAGACTGAAGACCAGGGAGCAAGAGGGGCTCAACAGGGTGCCAACTTCCAGCAGCCACTGTGTCCACAGTCCCTCGGCCTCCTGAGAGTCCTCTTTAACCTTCCTAACTGGAGCCTCGCTGTGTTCTCAGACCTCAGGTCTGCGTCCCACCAAAGGATGGTGGTACCTGCTCAGCTGGGCTGTGGGTTATGTGATTTAGACTTGTATTCTCAGTTTCTAGCACAGGATGGCCTCAGAGCAAGTGTCTTATAAATGTGCCCACTGCCAATGGAGTGCTGTAGGCTGCCCCTACCTACACAGTCCGGGCTGGGTCAGCTTCATGGTATGAGGCACAGCGATGCCTGCCACGGGACACACTGAGCCTTCACTGCACGCTAGCACTGTTCCTCCACAGCCACTCTGGAGGTTGCTATCACAATCGTGCCCACTTTACAGACGGGAGGACTGAGGCACAAGAAGGTACCACCAGAGCCAGGATTTGGACCCAGGCAGGTGGCATCAGGACATCTTCCCGACATGCCGAACTGCTCGGGGCCGTGGCTTTGATGTAAGTCACTGGTGTTTTGGCATGCAGCTGAGCCCACTTGACTCTTGTGTTCCAGGTCACTTTCTGGGGAACAACACAGTCATTGACGTCCTCCGGCAGGCGGGGCTGGAGGTGGAGCACACACCTGCAGGGCAGACCATCCACAGGTAAGCAGTGGGGTGTCTGCACCATGGGGCTGGCTGGCCTGCTGCTGGAGGTCCATGGGGCAGGACTGACCGTGGGCTGCAAGGTGGGCTGTCCCCTGCCTCCCTGCTCAGGCCCTCTGGTGAGATGGGGCCTTGTAGGCACTGGCCTTGACCAGGCACCTAAGAAAGGAGAAGCTAGGCTGGAGGTGGGGAGACTGGACAGGAGGCTGAACAGGAGCACAGCCTTGGCAGGAGGGAAGGGTGGCGAGCCTGGCAGAGGTGGTGGAATGGGAGGAGGGTTAAAGTTTGAGAGTGGTTCAGGATTTGGAGACTGGTGATCAGGTGGGACGGAAGGGCTCTGGGTGGCTGCCTAGAGGACTTGGGGATGCTGGGGCTCTGAACTGAGATGGGGCCACGGTCAGGGTGAACAATGGCTTAGCCTCTTTCCTGTGTCCCAGCCGCACCCGCACCTGGTCCTCACCGTCCCCTGACCATACTTTTCCCCAGTGCTGCCTCTTGGCCATGCCCATCGCCTCAACTGTCTTGCTAGAACACACCACTCCACTCACAGAGCCACATAATGGCATCCTCTCTTCCGTGGGGCGTTCCTCCCAGGAGCTGCCCAAAGGCTGGGGTCAACTGGGTCCCTGTGTGGCCCATAGTGCCAGCAACAGGCAGGGAACCACAGAAGTGTCAGCATGCTGGGCAGCTCCGGCGTCAATCACAGGATCCTCGAACTCAGCCTATGCTCCGCCCAGCCTTTATGAAAGAACTCTCCTCACCAGCCCATGAGGGTGACCATAGAGTGATTTGGACCCCCGTTACAAGATCTAGAGTCCAAAAGAAGCCTGAATGATCATAGTTAGTTTTGAAGTAGCACACTGTGTACCAGGATCTAAGCGTTTCTAACTCACTGGATCCTCATGATAGTCATGTGTGAGAGGAACTACGAGTGTCCTCATCTTAAAATTGAGGAACCTGAGGCCCAGAGAGGTGAAGTCACCTCAGAAGGGTGCACAGCTCAAGTAAATGGCAGTCTAGGGCCTCCCTGACCTCCTAACCCACCCTCTGTGTCCGATCTTGGGGTCAAGGTGGACTACAAACTTCCTGGGCTCCTTCCTCTTCTCATCTTCGGAGCCAGCCTGGCAAGATTGCTCTTCTTGAACATTTAAGCACAATACAGTCAGACAGTGCTAGGCTGGGCAGGCATGTGTTGAGGGGTAAGGGACAAGGGAGTCTTGAGAACAGAGTATTCTTCAAGCTCCCCCTTCACCTTGAAGCTCATTGTATCTGAGGTCAGGTTAGGGATGGGGGTGGGGGGCAGGCTGGAGAGGCCGCCTCGGCTCCTATTCATCTAGATCCCAGGCATTAGAGGAGGGTCCCCTTCTCCTCGCCCCACCCCCGACTCCCCACCCCAGACCCAGTTCCTCGGGCTCTCAGCCTGGTCTCTGAGTGCAGACTGAAACCCTGCAGGTGGAGTGAAGGAGCAGGGCTGCTGTGGAGGGCCCAACAATACAAGCCATCATGGCCACAGGTGCTTCCTGGAGCCATCTTTTTGTCTGCCTATTTTGAATTATCTCCCCAGCATCTGCGGCATCTCCTGGACCCTGGAAATCTGGAGCTGCCGTGAGGACTGAGGGTGGACAGGCTGAGCTGATGGCCTTGTCCCCCTCACCCACTGTGCACACAGGAGTGCCGGGAGGGTACAGGCTGCTTGCTGCCCTGGGGGCCACTTAACCTTCGCAGTTCCTGAGACCGTGGCCAACTTTCTCCCAGAGACAGATGGCCCCTTGGGATTCTGTTTGGGCCACAGACAGGAGAGAATAAAAGCAGAGGTGCAGAGGATGCGCCCAGGCTAAGGGGTGACTGTGCACACCTCTGTAGGGAATGTGAATTACTCACACCCAGGTGGATGTGTTAGCGCCCGCTACAGCCAGGCTCATTTGCTTGCTGGCCAGCATCACAGAGAGGCTTATGTGCCAGGCATGTGACCATCCTCGTGAAGTGAGTAACATTTCCACTCCTGTTCTGCAGCTGACGGCTGCTTGAGACAGTTGTGTCACCTGCCCTTAGTCACACAGCCTGTAAGCGGCAGAGACAGAATGTGCACCCATGTCTGTCAATCTCCACTGCTTAACACTGTCCTGCCTCCCTGAAAAGGTGCTCAGGGAAGAGTGTTAAGTGCATGAATGGGTAGTTGACTGAATGACACAAGCAACAATGTTAATATTTAATTAATAATATTTTAAATATATGCTTATTGATTTCAGAGAGGAAGAGAGAGGGAGAGAGAGAAACATCAATGATGAGAGAGAATCATTGATTGGCTGCCTCCTACATGCCCCACCTGGGCACCAAGCCCACAATCTGGGCACATACCCTGACCAGAATTGAACCATGACCACTGAACCACGCTGTTAATTAATAATTAATAATTATTAAGTTAATAATTAATAATCTAATTATTGATTAATATTATTTATTATATTAATATTTAATAACTATTAGATGTTGTAATAATTACTATTAAATTAATAATATTAATTACCTAACCGTTTCAGCTGCTTGCTATTTGCCAGTCACCTACATAATCCCAATGGAACTATTATAGGTATAGGCTGTAATATCCCCATTTTACAGAGCAGGAGACTGAGGCCCAGCAGTTAGATAACTCACCCAAAATCCCTCATCCCGAACTTGTTGAATAAATGAGACCCAGGGCCAGGGACACGGCTCACTCCCTCCCCTCCTAGTAGTCTGAGCTCAGACATCACTGGCAGCAGTCGGCAGTGACCAGACCACTTTCCTTACCCCCATCCTCTCCCCTGTCTCTGCTTGGTCTCCCCAGCAGTCATCACCATCTGACATCCTCTATGTCTTACTCTCCATTTTCTGCTTCAGACTGTTAGCTCTGCTGGTAAGAGGGTAGGACTTTGTTTAGATCACTGCTTCTGCCCAATTCCTAGAAAAGTGCAAGGTAGATGCTCAATATATATTGAATCAATACATGAAAGAATGAGCCTAAGCTCTGTCTCTCAGCCCTGGACACTGGTTGTCCTGGGTTATCCTCCCCGGGCCCAGGAGAGGCACGCTAGCATCTTCTCTTGCCACAGCAGCTCACCCATTGATTTGCAGCCCCTGTCCCACGTGAATGACACCCTGCAACATGTGAGCTTCATGAGCTGTCGCCCTTTCCAGCCCTGCCGCCAGGAGCCCTGCACCCCCTCCCGAGAGGACCTCAGCGAGCCCGGCCCCCGTGACCCCTGCTGCTGCCGCCCCCGCAGCACCCTCGGTGACCCCCACCGCCCCGCCTGAGGAGGAGGACCCAGCCCTATCCCCACACCTGCTGCTCCCCGACAGCCTCAGCCAGCTGGAGGAGTTTGGGCGGCAGAACAAGTGGCACAAGAGGCAGAATAAACAGCAGCGGCCGCGGCAGTTCAACGACCTCTGGGTCCGCATCGAGGACAGGTGAGTGGGGAGGGGCAGGCTGCTGGGAGCTGGGCATCACTCAGCCCCTCGGAGCCGGGCACACTGTCACCCACAAGCCCTGCTTGGGGGGCCCAGCAGGTAAGTGCCACAGCAGAAACCTTACCGTCGGCTTGTTCCCATCCTCAAAGGACCTCCTGTTCCTCCTTCAGGCTGATAGAGCACATGCACATCTCGCTTTTCATGGTTATCCTCAGGATGAGAGTGAGTGTAATGTTCTTCATTTTAAAGGCGAGGGACTAGAAGCTTCCTTCAAGTGCCATGGACAAAAGTCTGCTGTGCCCTTGATTGCCTAGGATGAACCTGGTGTGCAGAGCAGGCTCCATGGGAGCCAGGAGGAAATGGAACAGGCTGGCTACAGCCAAGGACATGAGCTCCCTGTGCCTGAAGCTCTCAGTGGATGACACCCTGGCAGGGAGGCTGCAAGAGAGAGATGGCAGAGGACACCTGGCACCCCGAGGCTGTGGGCTCTGTCTCAGCAGGGGACAGGGAGTTCGTGATAAACCTCTTTAAAAATGGGCAGGTGCAGAAATCCCTCTACTATACCGATACCTCCCTGTCCTCTGCCTGAGTGACCCGCCCCCACCCTGCACCACATCTGCCTGGCTATCACCAAACTCCTCCTGCCCTCCCACCTCTCCTGCTGCCGGCTCAGTACAGCGCAGTCTCCCTAGATTCCACTTTGGGGCAAGAATCTTCATATTTGGTGAACAGTGTCCCCAGGGCATCTAGATGTCCCAGGGAGTGACCATCAGTGAGAGGCAGAGACCTTCTCTCTGTGGGAGCCACACCCTGGGCATCGTGTCCCCGCAGTGGGCCCTCGGAGATGAGGAGTCTCCATCTGGACCTCCTCAGAGTTTCCAGAAAGAATCACTCTGGGCCCTTGTTAAACACATACATTCCCAGGCCCCACTGCAGACCCCTTCTCCCCCTCCCCCCCCAAATCAGCACGTGCAGGGGCCTGGAGAGCCGCGTGGTGAATGTGCACGGGAGGTTCTTCTGAGCAGCTTTGGAAAATGCAGACCCCGTTCTGCCTTTACAGATGTTGAACCAAGGCCCAGGGTAGGGGCTTGGCGGGATCACCCAGAAATCAGGAGCTGCCTCCTGCGCAACGCAGGCATGATCTTCCAGGTCTGAGTCATCGGCATGAAGCTGACATAGTCCAGTCCGCTCTCTTAACGTGCTGGGTGTGCACGATCTTAGAGAGACTTCCAGCAAACAAGAGTTGAGTCCATTGTTCCCTGGGCTGTGTGTTGGCTTGAAGCGCCTAACGTGGGTTCCTGGGAAATGTACGCTGCAGAGCCCTCGCCAGCCCGGCCTGCCTGGGCAGAGGCGCTGCTGCAGCTGTGTTGGCTGCAACACATTCAACTCACGTGCCCAGCATGGGCCCCGCATGGCCGCCCCCTTCAGACGTGGAGCGAGGGCATGAGGTTGCTGAGCTGCTTCCTGCAGCCTGGAGAGGCCCTGGTGCCCCCTAAAGTGCTCCGATCCAGCGGGCCCCGCAGCCCTGATCAACCTGCCCAGTGACCAGGAGACCCAGTCAGGGGCCGGTCCAGCCCCCAAGGTGACAGGAGGCTGGGCTGTCAGCTTCAGCAGGAGACCCCCAGCCCCTAACCATGTCTGAAAGGTAAATTTGGGCAAATGACTCCAAAAACAGTTTCCTTTTCACAACATGTAGCTCTGAAACACAGAGCCTGGTTTCAGGAGAAGAAAACAGCTTTTCTTCCCTGTCCCAACAGGTAGGCTATGGTTGGATAACGTTCTCCCATCTGGTCGGGTTGGAGAAGGAAGTTTCCACCGACAGGCAGCCTGTTTGTTGAACGATTCCCTGCTTCTTAGGGAGCAGGCCTGGGCTCCAGGGCGGCCTGGTGCAGGCGCAGCCCCTGTGGCTCCAGGTCCCGCTCTGTCTTCTTCAGGGTCCCCAGTTCTCTGAGAGGAGGCTGAGAAGAGCTCCCTGGGAGACTAGAGCCTGTTATAGTCCTTCTAAACAAACTATTTTCTTTGGGACTTTAATTTCATTCTGTTTTCTCATTTTCTTCCCCCTGAATCCCCCTAGAGCCATCCCTCTTCCCATCCCACCCCCCTCCATTTCCTCCTCCCATCCTCTCCACTGCCTCCTCTCCATCCCCTCCTCCCAAGCCCTCTTCCCATCCATATTCCCATCCCTTTCCCTCCAATCCCTTCTCTCCACCCTCTCCTCATCACCCCCTCCTCTCCATCCCCTCCTCTCTGTCCCCTCAAAGCCCTCCTCTCTCCACCCCCTCCTCTTCATCCCCTTCTCTTCATCCTCTCCTCTTTACCCCCTCCTCTCCACCCCCTTCTCTCCATCACCTCTGACCCCTCCACTCCACTCTCTCCTCTCCATCCCCTCCTCTCTGTCCAGCTCACCTTCCACCAGGAATCCTGTATCAGGGTCCTAACAGGCTTCCTGGTCCTAGCACATCACTGCCCCTCAGCTTCAAATTCTTTGTAGCTCCCACCACTACCAGGTTAAGTTCCTGCAGTTCTGCCCAGATGCATTGCCTGCCACCCCTTTCCTGCTTACCCACTGCCCCTCCTCCCAAGGGATAGAGGGCTCTGTTTGTGCCAGGCTTTGGGCGGCCTCTCTATGGACCATGCCAAGCCCCAGCTCCGCCTTTGTACTTGCCTCTCTCCTGGCTGGGGTGGGGGGTGCCAGTGAGCATTTGTGAGCTCCTGCTCGGTGCCAGGCACTTCCATTCACCATGTCCCTCAGTCCTCTCAGGAGCCCTGTTTGTTGAATAAGAAAACTGAGGCTCAGCAAGGTCAGGTAACACAGCAATTCAGGGGTGGAGTCTGTCTAATGCTAAGGGTCACAGTCATTCGCCCACCATGAAGATGCCCTTGCCACCCTCACCTGGCGAGCATCTCCCCATCCTCACTGAAGTCTACCTTCCTGCCCTAGCTTTCCTGCTGCCCCTCCCCTCTTTCCTGTAGCGCCTGTGGGTGTCTGATCCTGAAGTAGTCGCACAGACTTTGATTTCTAGATTGCGTTTCTAGGCTGGGAGCCCCTGGGGGCCAGATCTGGGTTGGACTTCTGTGTGTCCCTGGAGGCCTCGAGGAGGGTGTGTTGAGGGAGAGGAGGGGCGAGAGTCAGGGGAGGCGCTGCAAGCGACTGGGCAGGATACCACCTGGAGCAGGCTGGCCTCCCCCTGCCCCTCATTACCCAAGATGTAAACACACGGGAGGAAGTTTAGAGAAGCAGCAGCCCATGGCAGGATGATTTATGGGGACCCGTGGAAAGCGCCGAGCCTGTGGCCGCAGATGGCCGCACACTGGCGGCAGAGGGCTCCACGTCTGAGAGCCGGGCAGGGCAGCAGGGCAGGGCCGTTCCCGGGCTGGCCTTGAGCAGAGCATCGCCCAATGAGCTAGGATTGGTGGCAGTTTCTCCTTTTGTGCTGTTAGGGCCTTGACTGGTCTTTGAAGGCCATGCCAGCTCTGTGGTTCTCTGAGTCCACAGGGTGTGTGGAGGAGGAGTGTGTGTGTGTGTGTGTGTGTGTGTGTGTGTGTGTGTGGTGGGGTAGAGGTTTGGATGAACAAGGAAGCAGGGTGGTGGGCCACCAGGATTGGAAGGACAGTCATGAGGGGGCAGGTGCTGCAAGAGCTGGGCATGGCCTGAAGCAAGAGGGCATCAGTAGGTGATGGACACAGAGTTGGGGGTGCCACCATGTAGAGGCAGGGGGTGCAGGACAGGGGTCATTGCCTTCTGGCCCTCAGCTTCTCCTGAAGTTTGAGATGAGGACCAGGGCTCCAGCCCCTGGGCTCTGGGAGGGCTCTGCACCCCTCCTGCTGGCCAGCTCTTCCTGCGTGAAGCCCTCCAGTTTTGCTTCCTCCTAGCCCAGCCCAGCCCTCTCCCTGGGCAGGGTGGTTGGCTGGAGGCCAGGACTATTAGAGGTAGAAGATGCCCCCTGAGAAATGGAAAGCAGCTCCCTCAGTGAGTAAAAGCACAGACAAATTCAGGTAGAACAGGATGCTAAGCCCTGCACCTCATACTTGCTTTGAGGCTTAGAGGGTCAATGAGCTGGTGCTTGTAAAGTGGTACCAGTTGTCTCCAGGGTTGGTGGCCAGTGGTGAACCTTTGACTCTCAATGACTGGTCTAAGATGCTCCCCTCACAGCAGGAGCTGCTCACGGGCCTTTGGCACATCAAAGACTCACAGCCTTACCCCCTGAGCAGGAGCTCATTGGCCCCAGATGGATGCCCAGCCCCATGTGAAGTGCTGGTGGGGACCAGAGTAGGAAGAGGCTCAGGCTATGGCTGGGCAGGGACAACTCCCCACTATGTTGCCTGTGCTGCCTGCGAAGGGAATCAATCCCTGAGGGCTGGGGGATTGGGGCCCTGAGGGTTAGAAGTGACCCTGGGGTCTGAGAAGAGTGAAGAGACTTACTTCCTACAGAAAACCACACGACCAAAGGGGTAGAGGCTGCCGTGGACCTGAGATGTCGGGATGCTGAGCCGCAGGCAAACGCCAATTTTTTTTTTTTAACTTTTCAATTACAGTTGACATTCAGTGTTTCTTTCTATTAGTTTCAGGTGTACCGCATAGTGGTTAGACAATTATATAATTTATGAAGTGATCCCTCAATAATTCTAGTACCCACCTGGTACTATACATAGTTATTACAATATTACTGACTGTACTCCCTATGCTGCACTTTATATTCCCTGGACTATTTTGTATCTTCCAATTAGTACTTGTTAATCCCTTCACCTTTTGCACCCAGCTCACCTCCCATCTGGCACCCTTCAGTTTGTTCTCTGTATCTACGAGTCTGTTTCTAGTTTTGTTTGTTCATTTATTTTGTTCTTTAGATTCCACCTGTCAGTGAAATCAGACCATATGTCTTTCTCTGTCTGACTTACTTCACTTATTGTAATACTCTCTACATCCATCCATGTTGTTGTGAATGGTAAAATTTTGTTCTTTTTTATGGTTGAGTAATATTCCATTTTATATATGTACCACTTTTTCTTTACCCACTTGGGTTGCTTCCATATCTTGACTATCGTAAATAATGCTACAATGAACATAGGGGTGCCTGATTTTAGAACTAGTGTCTTGGATTTCTTCAAATATATACCCAGAATTGGAATTGCTGGGTCATCAGGTGGTTATATTTTTAATATTTTAAGGAACTTCCATACTATTCTCCACATTGGCTGCACCAAACTGCATTCCCATCAGCAGTGCCCTAGAGTTTCGTTTCTTTCACATCCTCATCACCACTTGTTGTTTGTTGACTTATTGATGAAGCCATTCTGATGGATGGGAGGTAATAGCTCATTTTCATTTCTCTGAGCATTGGTGACGTTGAGCATCTTTTCATATGTCCATTGGCCATCTGCATGTTCTCTTTGGAGAAGTGCTTATTCAGGCCCTCTGCCCACTTTTTAATTGGATTGTTTAATTTTTTTTGGTGTCAAGTTATATAAGTTCTTTATAAATTTTAGATATTAAGCTCTTATCAGATATATCATTGGCAATATATTCTCCCATTCAGTGGGTTGCTTTTATTTTGTTGATTGTTTCCTTTACTGTGCAAAACCTTTTTAGTTTGATGTAGTCCCATTTGTTTGTTCTTTCTTTTGTTTCCCTTGCCTGAGGAGATATGTCAGAAAAATATGTGACCAAAAGGAAGGTCAGAGAGTTTACTGCCCAGGTTTTCTATAGTCACTTATATTTCTGCCCGTGTTTGTTGTGCTTGGCTCAGAGAGGCCAGGCCTGGGCTGGAACCTTAGTGAAGGGATCGCACTGAGACCTCCACCCCCAACATCAGGGCCACCTGGCACCAGGCCCTCCAGCATTAGGATCCCCTAGCATCAGGGCCACCTGGCATTAGGGCCCCCCAGCACCAGAGCCCCCTGGCACCAGGCTCTGCTGTCCCAGGCTCCATCTCCCCTTGTCTTCTTAGAGCCTGCTCAGAAGCCACCCAGGACACAACCCAGTCACCCCTTGTGTTAGTAAGAAAGCCACAGGCCCAAGATTCCCATAACCCAGCCTGGGTGGCTGTTGGAGACCCTCTGATGCCAAGATTGGCCACCTGCACAAAGAAGACCTGTGAAGGGGCCTTGGAGGATAGACAGCTGACACTACTCAAACACCAGCCTGCCTTTCTGTGCTTTATACTTTGGACTTCAACCTTCTGGCTTCTGCTGCTAGAAAACACTGAAAAGCCCAAGGCTCCTTCATTGTACACCTGGGGAAACTGAGGCCTGGAAGACAGGACTTGCCCAGAGTCACACTGCAAGCAGGAACATAGGGAAGGCTAGAATGGGGCTGTTGCCTTCCCCTCAGGCAGAGGGTCCTTCCCCACCCCAGAGGCCCCTCAGCTCAGAGCAGACTGGGCCCCTCGGTGCCAGCCGTCTCGGAGCCTGGGAACACTCACAGTGTTTGGTTTGGCTTTGAGGCCACTTGGCCATAAGACACTTCCCAGCATGGGTTGGGGTGGGGGGTGAAGGGGGTTTGGACTCGGGAATAAGCTCTGTGAGCAAGGGAGGTGGGGCATTTGGAGGGGCTTTCTGCCCCTGCCTCCCGCCTCCCCCCATTTCCCTGGGACTCCTTCCAAGCAATAAACCCCACTCCACTCTGGCTCCAAGCAGGAAGAGAGGTGGTTGCATCTTTGGTTTTCAAAGTGTAAAAGCAAATGCCTTCAGGTGCTTTGTGAGACAGTTTTCATAACTCTTACGGGGTCTTCCTTCTATGGCTTGGGCCCCCACTGCTGTTCCAGCACCCCACCCAGCACCCTAGGCTCCTCTCCTGAGGTCAGCCCTTCTCACCTTGCTGCTGAAAGGACAGGCAGCAGCGGGGAGGAACTTCCGTGGCCTTTTGTGTTGTATGCAGAGATGGGGGTCCTTTTCTTAGAAAAGAAAGGGAGGGAAGGTTCTGAGGCAGTGACCCTGCTGGGCATGGGTTTTTGAGGTCCCAGCAGGAAGCAGGACACTTCACCCCAGGCCCTCCCATCGCACACTTGCTCCTCTGCTCAGTGAGATCGGCACCCAGGCCGGGTCAGGCTGGACAGCAGACTGTCCAGGACACATCTGTGTCCTAACCTACTTCCAGCTCAATTTCTGCATCTTGGAAATGAGGATGATAACAAAGGCACACGCCCAGCATCCGGCACAGTGTCTGCCAGCACGTGGGAAGTGCTCTATGAATGGAACATGTTATTAGTAGGGGAGACGCATGCAAACATATTAGTACTGATGACAAAAATAGCCAATACCATGTAACACTATGTGCCTGGCATCATTCAGAGCTCTTTACAGAAACTCATCCTAACCTTGTGTGCCCAGTAGGTACCTGTGACATAATGTGATCAGTGAGAAATGTATAAGATTTTATGGGAGCCTGAATACTCCCAGGGGGCATTGAGGCTGCAGGACAAAGAGGCTCCTAGGTGAGGGAACATTGAGTCTGCATTCGAAAGGGAGTAGCATTCGAGTGGGAAACTGGCCACAGAACATTAGATGTGCCTGGAGAGGGTTGGCGTGTGCTGAGACGTGAGGTCAGCCGGCCCCAGACCATGACCATTCTCCAATGGCCTGAGGCATGGGATGGAGAGCACAACAGGCCAGATGTTGTGAGTTATAAAGGGCACTCAAAGCACCTGGTCTGCCCCCTCCCTCCTGTTCCAGGAGCCCGTCCCTCTGTCCCCTGTGCAGGGCAAGAGTGTGCTCCCTTCTCTCCTGAGAACCTCCTGCAAGGACCTGGCCCTTGTGGTCGGAGCATGGCCAGGGGCAGAGTAGAAGAGTAAAGACTTTGCTTTGAGCAAAAGTCTAGACCCCATTCCCAGAGCAGAGAGTCCAGCCCACGTAGGAGCAGGGCAGTGCTTGGTGACCACAGGCTGCCCCGCCCACCAACCCCCAGCTGAGGCTGAGCCAGGCTGTGTCCCAGGCATCCAGCCGCATGGCTGTGGGGCAGGGCTGTGGCCATGATGCTCAGGGATCTCGTCCAGGTGACTGTGGCCTAACTGTTGGGACCTTGTACCCAGCACATGGGAACTCTGGCCAGGATGGGGAGGGGGACTTCCAAGAGACCCTGGGAGTGAGCAGCCTGCCTGGGAAGGAAAAAGTGGAGCAGTGTCTCCTATGGAGGAGTCTACCCACAGAAAAAGATCCCCATCATGTCACACAACGCAAACGTCTCCCAGAGAGGGGCAAGCTTCCTGTCCACCCGCACGTACTGTGTGCCCCCCCCCGCCCTGCATCCTAGAGCAAGTTGTGCCTTAGTTTCTTCAGAAGTAAACTGGGATAACAGTGGTATCTGCCTGTGGGGTTGTTGTGAGAAGTGCCATATGCCCTTAGCACGGGCCCTACTCTGTGAGCACCTCTCCGTCTTGCTGGGAACCCCTCAGCCACATGCAGACTGGACTTGCTGCTTTCATAGGGGACTGCAGAGTCACCTTCCTAGCCCTGCACTGTAGTGGCCCTCTGTCCCCACTGTCCCCTCACATCCTTGCCCCTCTGCTGTTTGGGGCTTGTTGGATCCTCTGCCTGCATGTCCATCTGCCTCCCCCAGCCCAGGGTCCGTAGGGCAAATGTGCCCACAGCTCTTAGGACCAGCCCCTTCCTTTATCCCTGAGCCTCCCCTCCCTATCCCCTCTCCCTTCCCCTGTCCCTGTCCCTCTATTCATAATTTTCCATCTCTCTTTCTAGGATTTGAACTGTGACCTGCTCCTGCATCTTGCCTGGCCCCCATCCTACCCTTCACTTCCCACTGGCACCAGTTCCTTCCATCAATCTTTTTTTCTTTCTCTCACTCTGTCTCCCTGTCTCTCTCCCTTCCTAACCTTCATGTAAGCTTTCTCGAGCCAAGATCCTTAACCATTACCTCTAAAGCAGGATTCTGTTTTTATAAGTTCATGGAGAACTGCACCTTTCACTCAAACTCCCTGTGGTTACGCTGACCCCAGGGTTCCTGCCCTTGGAGGTGCTGCCTCCATATCCTCAATGACCTGGTCACCGCATGGCCCCAGTGAGCCTCTGTTTTCTCCTCTGGGGAAGGGGGTGGTGCGAGCCACTGGTTTGTTTTTGTTATTTTTAATATATTTTTATTGATTTTTTACAGAGATGAAAGGATAGGGATAGAGAGCTAGAAACTTCGATGAGAAAGAAACATTGACCAGCTGCCTCCTGCACACTCCCTACCAGGGATGCCCGCAACCAATGTACATGCCCTTGATTGGAATCAAACCTGGGACCTTTCTGTCTGCAGGCCGACGCTGAGCCAAACTGGTTTTGGCGACTGTGAAGGTTTTTAGAGGACCAGAGATACTCTCAATAAATGGCTGCTGGGATAAAGGGGTTGGGGAGGGATGGTGTGTGTGTTTTGTGGGAGGGCAATAGGAGGGCGGGGCATCTGTATACAAGATGTGGAGGCCGATGGCCCGACTATGACCCCAGCTACACTTGAATTACACTTTAATTCTCCATAACACTTTAATCCCCTCTGCCTGGGACTCAGTTCTCTTGAGTGGTCACACAAGCCCAGTGGCTCCCAGTGTCCAGCCCACCTACTCCCCTGCCCCCTGGAGCCTGGCACAGGAGGGTGTGTGCAGTCTTGGGAGCTCGGCCAGCCTGCTGTGTGGCTCTGGGCTGCTCACTTCCGCTGTTTTCTTCTCCATTTCATAAAGTCAGATCTGCACCTTCAGGCGACAGCCCGGGATGGGGCTGCTGAGCCGTCACTCAGAGTTCCATGTGTTCTCTCCTTCCAGCACCACCGCCTCGCCACCCCCGCTGCCCCTCCAACCCACGCACAGCTACAGCTCCGGGACCGCCGGGCCCCTCTTCCAGCTCTCCGACCAGCTCCAGCCGCAGGAAGCACCGGGCTCCGCCAGCAGCTCAGTGCCTGCCCACTCCCAGCCGGCCCTGGGCCTCCTCCCTGCCATCATCGCTGCCAGCTTCGCAGCCCCCTTCCTGCTGCACACCTTCGGGCCTTCCTGACCTCGGCTGCCCGTGCAGAGAAGCCAGAGAAACCTCAGGAGGGTCTGTGGCCACATCCTACTGCCCCTGCCACCCCACTCCCAGGGGGGGCCTGACACCTCACGGGCAGTCCAGTCGGGATCCGTTAGAACCCTAGAGCTTTATTGTACCCGAGTTACATCTTCTTTTTTGTAGAAGGATCTTAATTTCCCATAGTGCTATGGGGCTCTTTTGTAAAATACGTGTCCATATTAAAAAAGAAAAATGTATTTATTCCACCGATAAAACTACTTTTATGTGGCCTATATCAATTACCCCCTAATTAGTCCCAGCGCGCACCCAGGCGGTGAAGCCAGGCTGTCAGGACTTCTGCGACCTCATGCGGACCTTGGCGGTGCAGCGCCTGCTCTGGACCAGCGGAAGCCTCCCGTGCCTGGGTTTGGCTTCTCCCACCGCGGGGACCTCGGAGGGAGGGGTAGGCAGACAAGCTTAGCTTTTGTGAAGCTGGATTTGGGAGCCAGAGATGTGAACGCTGACGGTCCTTCCCTCCCATGGATGCATCCTAGGGCTGGGAAGATACTTTTCGGAAAGAGAATGCTGCTATTTTGTAAACCCTGGGTGTCTGTGAAGGGGCCTCCGGAGCTCTTGGTAAGTGTTCCGACCTAAGCACTGGGTGGAGGAAGAGTGTCGGTGCTGAGGGAGGTGGTTTCCCAGGCCTGTGTGCCTGATGGTTAAACTAAGATCCAAAGAGAGGAAAGTGGTTGCCCAAGATCACACAGCAAGTGGGAGATCCGGGACATGAATCCAGACCTCTCTGCTCTGATAGCATTAATCCAGCTTGGGTTACAGGAGATGCTACTGAAGTCGCTGCCAAATGGAATGAGCTGGACCGATGGACAGGAGTCAGCACAGAGGGCAGTTTTAGAGACAAGGGCTCTAAGAGTCACGTGGGAATAATTGTAACGAGAGCCACCATTTTGTCCAAAGCCCACCATGTGGCAGGCACTTTGCACACTCGCTTTATCACTGATCCTCACGCCAGTTCTAGGAGAGGCAGCCACCCCCTTTTCACAGGTGAGGAAACTGAACCCCCTGGCTGAGTGACCTTGAGCAAAGGGACTTGCTCAAGGTCACTCAGCCAGGACATGGCCCCAAAGACATGTGACTGAGAAGTGATGCTTATCTCCTGGCTCAGATTCTGCCACGTTCTCTCTACACAGGGACGCCCCACGGGCCAGCACAAGCTTCTTACTCCGCCAAAGAGACTGTTTGGCCACAGTTGCTCATGTGGGTCACTCTTGCCAAAGGGCTCTTTGTGTGTGCCACGTGTCCCAGGCCCAGACTTGTCTTATCCTGAAGCCAATGAGAGGCTTTTCTGCCAAATATGAGGCTAGGGAATGAGGGGCAGCTGTGGGAAGCGTGGGGAGACTGGCAGCCAGTCAAACAGGGACAGTCAGGCCACTCCGCCTCAGAGAGACAGACCTAGCTCCTCTGCCCCCGAGGCGGTGGCTGAGAAGACAGAGGACCCTGCCTTCCAGTCCTGGATCCTCATAGGCCTAGCGGCGCATCCATTACAGGTTCCTGGCACCGGAGTTCAGAAAGAACCCCTCATCTGACCTCTAACTGTAAGAATAACAATCAGGCCAGAGAGGGGGCGTTTCCCCAAAACTGCACAACTGGATATCTGCTGAATCCCAGACCAATGCTCTCCAGCGTCACTGGCAGTGCCTGCCTAACCCCAGTCCCAGCTGGGCAGCTGTCCCTTTTGAGTCAGTAGGGTCCAGGGCAGCTCTATTGGATGGTCAGAGGTCCCACTGGCATCTTGGAAGGCCTCTGAATTCTTTTTAGCTCAGCCCTGGATGGATGTTTTGGAGCCTGAGACCTGGCAGGAGCCCTGAGCTCTACTTCAGAGGGTCCAGCCAGCCCCATGGGCACCAGGCTGTAAACCGAACTTGACCCCGGCCAGGGTTTATCCTTGGCAGAAACGAGACTTCCTATTTCTGAGCGGGAAGGGGCTTAGCTGAGTTATAAAGCAGGCTCAGAGGCCTGGGGGACATCAAACACTTCGTGCGGAGCACTATTTGGATGAGATAAGTGTAAAGGAATTAGAAACACACAGGCCAGATTTCCCTCTGCTCCGGGCAGAGTGTGGCATGCAATGTATTGAGATGGAACTTGAGGTTAATTAAAGATGAAGCATTTGGGTAAACAGTCCAGGCACCTGACTGCGTGCCCAGATCTGTGCCAGGCATGGGGCCAGAGGTAAATTAATGCAGTGTGTGATTATTAAGCACACGCAGTGCCAGTCTCCATGTCAGGCCCGAATCTCGCCACCTTCCCGATTTAGAGGAGCTCAGCCTTGAGAGAGACGCACAGCACCGTCCTGGGCTCCTAAAGGACATTGAGGTCATCCTATCCATCTCCTAAGCAGGCAAAGTCAGCCCTGGTCTTCCCCAGATCCCTCCTTGGTGCAGTTCGGGGGATTCCAAACTCTCCCCCAGATAAGCACTCAAGCGTTTAAAGGAAAATGGATGTGCCAACTGGTTCGGTGGACGTGTGCCGCCCGGACAGCCAGAGCCAGCGTGGGTCAGACATCTGCAGCCGAAGCGCACTGATCTCTGAGGACCACCCACTGGCCGGGGTTTGAAATGAACTGAGCTTGCTGTTTATATCCCAGAAGACCCGAGGCACATTTATGGAAATTGAATTGCTGGGGGTGCGTGAATTCTCTCATTCTGGGCCGGAGAGCCTTCATTCCATCAGCGGCCAATCACACACTTGGAAATGCTCTATCCACACCACTGCTGACATCTTTCCCAGCATGTGCTATGTGCTCAGCCTCATAAAATGCCCCTGTTGTTCTGAGAGCATCGTGTACACGTCTTGGGGCTTTCACGTTGGCCTTAAGGCAGGCAGAGAAGATGGACGGGCTGAGACCCAGCAGGTTCCGTACCCTGCCTAAGGTCAGTGGTGGCCCAGATCCCCTGTCTCTCAGGAAACATTACTGACTGAGCCAGGAACTTTCCGGGGCTGGTCAGCATAGCCATGCTGTGAGTCTTCTTCCAGGCTGCCTGACACCCGCAGCAGGGGTAGGCCAGGACCGAAGGTGCACGAGTCAGGCTATCAGGAGCTGCACGGGCCGCCGAGGGCCCCTCCACCTCTGAGAGTCAAAGATCTGGAGTCCAGGCAGTATGAACACCTGTACTGACCAGCAAGGTCACCTGTGCTCTGAAAGACTATTAGTGAGTTTTCCTGATGTCATCGAATGCTCCATCTTCTATGTCTTGGCCTCAGCCAGACTTGGGCAAACCTAGAGGCTCCGGGTTCTGTCCTACCTGCCCAGCCTCCAGTCTGGTGCCATTGACATCAGATCCCAAGAAAAGGTCCTCCACCAAAGGAAAGCTGATGACAAACACCATGAAGGCTAAGACACATTCTGCCTGGGAACGGCCGCTTAGATGGTTTCTGTGCCGAGGACAGAATTGGAGCTGGCTATACTGTTTCAGTGGCCACAGGAGAAGAACCACATCCTCAGCCTGCCATTCTAGACTATCCATGATCTGGCCCTGCTGCTTGCCAGCCGCATCTCTCATCTCCCCCACTCTGTGCTTAACCAGACCGAACTGTATTTGTCATTTCTAGGACAGATCAGATGTTTCACACATGCTGCTTGCTAGGCCTGGGAAATCCCTTCTCTTACCCTAACGGCTCAATTTTTGAAGATCAACTCAAATGACATCTCCTGCAAGAAGCCCCCTGTGATTCCTTTGTGCTTTCTAGCAGCTAGCACCACACCCACTGAGACTGTCTAATGGCATGTGTGCTCTCTTCTTGGACTGTGAGCTCCACGGTGGCAAGAGTCATGTAAACTCATATCTATATCTTCATCTGACACAAAGATGGCACTCAACAACTGTGCAGAAAGGGAAGGAGAGAGAAAAGAATGAAGGAAGGAAAGAAGGAGCGAGGCAGATGTTAGCTTTGCTAGTGGAGTGGTTTGTACAAAGCCAAAGTTGTGTGCGAGTGGGCAGGTGCCTCTGCAGGTGAGTTTCTGTCAGGAGAGGAGTGTGAGCAGGGGCAGTGGGCACCCTGGCTGGAGAGAAATGGCAGAGAGTTGAAGTCTTGGCAAGAGTCTAAGGCAGATGACATCGAGAGCCCCTCCTGGCTCTGTAATGTTCAGGTTCTTTGAACATTGTGATTTTTCCAAAACTTCATCTGAGCAGCCAAAAAAAAATCAGCCGGCTGGCTGTCTAAACCAATAAGGTTCAGGAATCAGTCCAGCCGCGCGCCACAGTTCTCCAAGAGCCCAGCCAGGCTGACGGAATTGGCAGGCTTGCTGGCTGCCCCGGGGCAGGGGGACTTCTGGGCCCTGGAGGAGAGCTGAACCAGAATCCAGGACCCTGGCTCCAACCCGGAGCTCATTGCCTTCCTGCCCCAACCCTTGGGGAGGGAAAGGGTCATGAGAGCCCATGGAGCCTCAGCTGGCCCTGGCCTGTCGGCTTCTCCCACCCTTTCTCTGACGGTAGCACTTCCTTCCCTGAGATTCTCTGGAGAGTCCTTCACTTCGCTGGGTGACCTTGGGCAAGTCCCTGCCCCTCCCTGAGTGTCCATTTCCTCATCTGTCAAACAGAGGCCTTGTTTCTGGCCTGGGGTGTTCTGGAGATATGGGCAAATGCTGTGTGCAATTTTGGGGCTCCGTGAAGGCTGGGCGCCACTCCTCCCCAGGATCAATGCTCGGCTTTCCTTCCAGGACCCGCAATCTGCTCTGGGCGTGGGAGCACGCAGCGGGCAGGGGAGGCAGCAGAGTAGCTTCACAGGGTCCCTCCATCCAGCGTCCCACTCGGGGGCAAGTGTGCTTTGAGAGGGGCATGAGTCTCAGAAGTTTCTGGTGGGGCTTTCAGACACCTTGGGCCCCCGTAGCTGGGGTGGCAGGGCCTGGCTCTTGGCCAAGGGAGATTCTGGCCCAGAACAGAGGCAGCCAGAGCCCCGGGCCCCAGTCCTGGGCCTCGGAGGGATCGCAG